CTGGTGGCCGCTGCTCGGGCTGCTGCCCGCGGGCGCAGTGCTCGGGGAGGACGCGGCGCTCTCAGGTAACCGGTCACCCTGGGCCCCCGCGTCCCCTGGGACCCGGACCTTCTGGTCCCAGGACAGGAAGTGCAAAGCCAGGCCCGTCCTCTGGTGTTCCCGCGGCCGCCCAAGCGCAGAGCTCCTTTGATTTGACCAGAGTCGCGCAGCCCGTCACTGGCACACCCAGCCCTGGCCCCTGGGCCTCCTGCACTGTACCTAGGTTTACATTAATAAACGGGCGTGGTGGTGCACGCCCGAAACCCCAGCGCTCAGGGAGGCTGAGACCGGAGGACAGTAAGTTCCTGCCCAATGCGGGCAATTTAGGGAGACCCTGTCTCAAGAAAGAAACTTTTTTTTTTTTTAAAGGCCTGGGGTTGTAGCTCATTTCGAAGGCCCTGGGTTCAATCCCCAGTACCACAAACAAACAAAAATCCTTATATCGAGAGCTATTCCTGTAAACTCAAGACTAGAGAGGATAAGAGCTTCAGCTTTAGCATGGGCCACAAGTTCCCCACCCTTGACTGGCTGTTGTGACTTTGGGTGAATCACCTAACTGGTTATGTGTAGGCATCTGATGACACCCCCAGGACCCTGGAGTCGTTATGGTGCGCCCAGAACTGGTAGCTTCTCCTGGCGATGTTAGGGGCCATCATCCACGGGGTGATCCCAGGGGAGTCGGAAAACGAAAACGCGAGTTCTGGCCCCAGAACTGCTTGTGATTTGCTGTCAGTTTAATTTCCTCTCTTCTTTCAGTTTCCTGCCGATAATACCCTTTAAAGGATTTCCCAAACGCACCCTCCAGCCTCTTCATTTTGTTGGCCCCTCCCTACTGCAAGGGAGGCTGCCAAGTGTAGCTGGAACCGGCCTTCCCCAACAAAGCCAGGATTCCATGGATTCCTGGAAGAAATCTAAGGATGAAGGAGAGAGGGGCTGTTGAGTAAGCAGTTACTGTATTTGCCCTGCCACAGCTGCCAAGCAAGTTACCATGCATGCAGTGCAATCCATCGTGGGGAGCTGTCTGCACCAGCTTTCACCAAGCGCAGCAGGTGTTTATGAGCCGGGTAGTGTTAAACCTGCTTTTGCCACATTATCTATGGTATTTAATAATCCTAGAAGCTCGATAGGGGTAGGTGGTAGTTATATTCCCATTTTACAGAGTAGGAAATGAAGACTTAGTAATAAGAAATATAACAAGTACATATAACTGACAGAATAAGCACAAATCTTCCTGAGGAGGGTTTCTGGGCATGGCAGCAGCCAGATTAGAAGTAGTCCTACCAACGCTCAGAACTTCAGGTTCTGGTTTAGTCATTACATTCAGCTACTTCTTGTGATGTAACCTCAGCTGAGGCTCTTAGTCTTTATAGACCACAGTTTTCTCACAAGAAAATGAAGATGTATTGCTGAACACTCTCCAGTATTTTCTGCACCTTTTAATTGCCTCGGAGAACCCAGTGTGCTTCAGGCTTCTGTTATGGTAATGATTTTCAGTTTTGTTTATTGGAGATATGCATACTTGCTTACCAGGGCTCCTGTTCTGTCAGAGACATGGAAGATGCCTTTTGAGTTGATGAAGTTCTAGTCTGCAGCTAAGAAAAAGTGAGGCCTGCAGTTGCAAATAGGCAGACTAGGAAGCACCAAGCTCCCATTGTCCTGTAGTGTGCCAGTGCCACCATGTTGGAGCCCCTGGATCAGATTGGGCCTGAGAACTACTGCTGCTCTGAAGTTGGTGTATGAGGAGACGAAGCAGCTGGTACAACATGCACCATTCACAGGAAATACTCTTGTTCTAAGGCCCCAGCGGATGCCAGAGGCTCTGATAGCGCTGAACCCTGTTTGTACTGCTTTCCTGTACATACACGCCTAGAGTAAAGTTTAATGGAAATTAGGCACAGTAAGAGAATACCAGTAATAACTAATAGAACAGTTACAGCAATATGCTGCAATAAATTATTTGAACTTATAAATTGTGTATCTCTGGAATTTTCTATTTAGCATTTTCAGACTGGTAACTGCAGCTTCAGCGAGCAAAACTGCAGGTGAGGCAGAGCTACTGTACGGCCATCCTTCCCTAGTGTAGGGCCATCTATTACAGGAGAGGCCAGGGAGAGATGGAATGCAGGGCCCTTCCTGTTCAAAGGTATAGGTCATTTCAGTTTCACAGCTTTCTGTTCCGCTGTGGCAGAGGAAGATCTCTCCTGGAAGTTAAAAATCAGCACCTGTTGATTTCACTTTCACTCTGGTGGCTTGAAGGAAGAACAAAGTTTGTCTTCAGATTAAAAACACTCAAGTAAATTGGAGTTAGTAGAATAGAGAAGTTACCTTTGTACTGTACCTTTAAGCATACATTTACAAAGCAACACCAAGGACAGTCCTAGCGCCGTCTGGGATCAGTTGGCTGCAGAGAAGGTTTGTTTGCACTTGACTTTTGTTTTTCTTGCTCTTTTTTCCCCCCTGGTCCCAAAAGAAAAAGAATGACAGGTTAAAAGGAGAAAACGTCAGCATAATTGAGTAAGTTCCTATTATTTTGTTAACAGTTTCATTTGAGGATAGTTTTTTTTTCCCCATATGAGAGCCATCAAAGGCTACATTTTCAAGAGGAATGTTGGTTGCTATTCTTATAGGGAAGTAGTTTAAGATCTGAGATTTGAGAAGTGTTTGTGCTTTTTATTTTTAGAATATTCTCTAAGTCAGTTTAAGTATTACCTGCTCTTTTCTAAAGTTTTGATTGAATATTTTTACTACATGTATAACCAAACTCTTAAATTTAAATATATACTTAAACATTTACTAATCAGTGGCAAAAATACTACAGAGGAGTTGTTTTTATTTTCGTGTTTTTGACAGGGTCTTACTATGTAGTTCAAGTTGGCCCTACCATTGCTGTGAAGCCCAAGCTGACTTTGAACTCAGTGACCCTCCTGCCTCAGCCTCCAGACTGCTAGGATTTCAGGCATGCACCACATGCCTAGCTCAGATGAGTAATTTTAAATTTAACTTATTAATTAAAGCAGGTGATCCTCCTAGGCGCTTGAAGCCTCAGATGCTGACCACCATTTATGCATACATACCTATGCACACATACCTGCAGACAAGTTTAATTTATAAATTAGGTACAGAGATTAACAATGATAACTAATAAGATAAAACTAACAAAACAGTTATAACAATATACTGTAATTAAAGTTACTTAAAACTTTTTATTTATTTATTTATTTATCTGGAATTTTCCACTTAATATTTTTGGACATGGTTGACCACAGGTAAGTGAAACTGTAGAAAACAGAAACCAGAGTAAAAAGAGGGCTCCTGTAGTCCTGAAATTATCATAGGTAGAGATTTATAAATTGAACCAAGGGCTCTGTTCATTGGTTCAGGTAACCTTGCCTTGCTTCCCAGGGTAAGGTGAGTAGTTAACACCTACTGCAGTTTGGGTACAGTGCCCCAGAAGTGCTTGTCATCCAGAAGGTGGGTTTCTCAGAAGGACCAAGAGAGCCTTTCTCCCGCCCCAAGTCAGGTTTGAGGATGTAAGCACCTTGGTTATGGAGTACCCTGCAGGGGGGGCGTGGTTCAGCCCCAAGTGGGAGCAGTGGGTTTCCCCAGGCAGTATTGATCCCTTCTGTCTGAATGAATGATTGTCACTGCATTTTTATACATTCTGAGAAGTCTTTTTCATTTTCTGGATTGCATGATGCAGGCATTGTTTGTTGGGATATATCTTGAGTTTGCCCACAATTGCCAGCAGGAGGTTCCTTATAGCAGAGTTAGCCAGCAAAATCGAGGGCTGTTGAGTAAATGAAATCATACATGGACAGGTGGCTTTTTGGCCTTAAGTGTCACTGCTTCTTCAGGGACAGAGGTTAAACAGTCAAACTGGTGTGATGTTTTCTATTTCTGCCCTCAGTTGGATGGTGAGTGGTCTAAAAGGTTACTGAAGGAAGGAGGAGAAAAGCCTAGGAAAGACAGGGCTTTTGTAATCAGCCTAAGTACCAAGATCTGGTCTCTGATACTAGTCTTGTCACAAGCCACGGTCTCAGGTCTTGTCCAGTTAGGTCATGAACTGCAGGTGAGGCTCGTGCCTTCTTGTGGCTGACGGAGCTTCTGGTTTCTTAGATATTTCAGAATTCATATGTGGGGTTGATTGAAGTGACTTCACCTCCGAAGAGGTGACAAGCACAGAGGGCAGCTAGAGGACAGCGTGAGATGCTGACACGTTGTCTGTACTGTCTTATGTGTTGTGTAAATTCTACATCAGCTTCACCTTGGAAACCAGAGGCCACTGTGGAGAATTCTAGGGAGACAACAGTGGCAACATGCTTTTGGTAGTGTGTGCAGTGGCAGTCAGGGTGGCCTCCCTCCATCTGTTCTTCCCTTGATGTGCTGGAAGTCTGAGGGTCGATTCAGAGCAGGCTCTTTCCCTCTACCCAGGACACACAGAGGTGATTGCAGTTCTTGCTTCCCCCGCTCCTGTATCCAGGGAGGAGTGAGAAAGTGATCCTTGGCCAGGGCTCTGCAGGGTCCCAGGCTCAGCCCTCTAGTTAAGAGCTCACTGGTGATGAGGTAGAGGAGGAAGCCTGAGGCTTCCCGTGCATATGGCCGCCCGTGTGTGGGTTCTGCAGGGGTGGCAGAGGCCCAGGCTGAGAAGGTGTCCTGTTGTTTCAGGAGGTTCAAGGACATGGCAACAGGCTTCTCTTCTGGGCTTACTGGTGCTGGTGAAGCTCTTAGCAAAATTGGTTGGGTTTTTACTGGCTGAGCTGCATTTGCTCATGTATTCCTTTAATCTCCTTGAATTTCAACACATACAGATGACAGATATTTAGATGTTGTGGGATACACGGATGAACACACCATGTCCCTAACTATAGGGAGAGTTACTAAATTCATATGTAATATGAAGATGGAAAAAAGTAGAGTCAGCAGAGAGCAGAAGACCATGCTGGAGTTTGCAAGTTCAAGAAGATGGCATGGGTGCGAACACACCAGCTATAGGACACTTCTGCAGGCAGGGAGACCAGCTAGAAGGCTGTTACTATAACCTAAGTGCAAAATGAATATGGCTTGGTGACCAAGAGGCATTGACTTTCAAATTCAAACTATTGCGCCACACTTGAACTGCATGTTATTGCTCTTACCATAGAAGCTGCTGTATCAAATGCTTTAGAAGACAGCCCTAGGACCAACTGGAAAAGACCTTGTTCCAAAGTTCAGCCCCACAAAGAGGGTAGTTCCTCAGATCCTCAACAAAAGGAAACTGTTCTGTGGCACTCACTCAGCCCTCAGGGCTGACTAGGAGAGGAGTTGCTGGGAGGGCCCTGGAGGCACCCATAAGGAGAGAGGCACACTGATGACAGCACTGGCCGAAAGTGAATGTTTTTGTAATGTTCTGGGACTGCTGGGGCTGTGGACCCAAGACCTCATGCCATCACCTGTCTTGCTGGACTGTGCTCCTTTGCAGAGCTAGGTAGACCCCTCTTTCATATGGAGGACTCCCAGGACCATGTTCTCAAGACTGGGCATCCATTGTGGCCGTGGCTCCTGCCCAGAGCGCACAGCAGAACATAGGATGTGGGCAGGCCAGCTAAGCAGCCTTCCTCCCCTGCTCTCGTGTGTGCTCAAGCCCTTCGGGGTTCTCATTGTTTTCTGCAGGTACCCCCCGCCCATTGATGTCCAGGACTGCTCTTCCCCATGCTGCTCTTGTCTGGGAATTGAGTGCCTCTCAAGCCCAAGAGTGCATGGTGCTGGCTGGTATGCGTGTTCTGTTCCGAGCACTGGTTCTGTGGTCTGTGCTGGGCTCTTGCACAGAGACTACACAGGAGTGCATTTTAAATTTTTAGTGTCCTGTATTTAACACAGAGCCTCTTGAGCTTTCCTTCTTTTACCGCTTTGGAACCTGGCTCTTACCCTAGATTCTTGTATTTATATCTCAGGCTCTCCAACTAAAAACTGGTTGTGTGTTTTTAAACAGATGCATTCCCTCACAGTGGCAGGAGTGGAGATAGAAGGGTGTCCTGTGCCCTTGGGGGCCTCTGCTCTGTGTAGCCTCCTGGTAGCCCTGAGGCTCAGGCAGCTAACTGTTTCAGGAGGCAGGGCATCCTCCCCCAGAATCCCTTCTCTAAGTTGCCTTCACTTTTCCTGGTGAATGCTAAGGGTATTTCAGGTGTGCACAGGGACCCATCTGAGCCCACTCAGAACTATTCCCTAAAGGGATGCGATTGTTGACAAGTTACTGCTGGACACCCAAGCCTTCTCCCACAGTAGGGTAGCAGGACCTTTTAGCTTAATTTCAGGTTTTCTGTAGACATAGCTGATCACAGTTTCCTTAGAGGATCTGGGAATTGGGAATAAGACCCATTTCTCTGGGTGCCTGTGAAGGTTCCCTGTTCCTGTTTGCTATTTGAGAGAGTTCCTGTTTGACCTACTATCTTGGATTCAGAAGAACTTACTTCATTTTAAATCCCAAGTACAGCCGTGGTCGCCAAAGAAATTGAGCCCCTTTAGTTTTTAATTTTTGTAGAATTTACCACACTAACATTCTGTAATACAGATCATTTCTCTTTGTCTCACATGTTGTGTTATATGTAATTATTACATAGTATGTGTACTACTTGTACCAAACACTCAGCATTTATGTACCTTCAGCCATCTCCAGCCCAGTTTCTCCTGTGCTGCAGACTGATCTGTCTTCACTTAGTCCCGCCAGTGAAAACCGGGTACACATATGTCCACATCTGTGCTCACCGCCACTCCCCTAACAAACTCGCCTTTTCCCCGGTGTTCTTCCTGGGTGAAGGGCCTCACTGTCTCTCCAGGAACTTGCATAGCATTTCTCACCGTCCTTCATCAGATGACTTTCCAAAGCCTGCGGACTTCACGTCCAGAGGGCTTTTAAGTCTGCTCCTTCTCCTTCCTCACTTAGTTCCTAGCTCCAGTAACACGGGATCCTTCTCTTGCTCTTGCAGGCCTAGAGCTGTTCCAGGTTTCCTGCTGCTTTTGTGTCTGGGGACCGCACAGTGCCTTGTCACTGGGGCCTTAACCCCATCCACAGCCTTACTGCTCTCTCCTGAGCGAAGCCCTTTTGCTGTCAGTGCTGTCCTGCAGGGGCTCTGACCCTTACCTGTAACTCTTCAGCACCCGCAGTCAGGATGAAGTCCGCATTACTGGCCCTGCCTCCTTGTCTGGCCGCAGGTCTCCCGCACTCCATCGTGTTCTCTCATCAGTATAACAATCACACGGTCCTAAACCAAACCGCTCCCGTGAGCCTTCTCGTCTCCGTGACTTTGTAGACATCTGCCACCCTCCAGCCCAGATTCTGTCCCCGTCCTCCATCCTTCAGTCCCATCTTTTCTGAGAAGCAGCTCTCAACCCCTGTCCTGCCCTTCAGCACTGAAGACAGGCCTGTTCTCGGTGACCTTATGGTGCCTTCTATGTGTCACAAGAGATTGACACTAGACATATTTTCTGTGTGGCTCTTCCTATACTGGAAAGACTAAAGGAATATAATTACCATGTAGAAGAATTTACTGGTCACAAAATATCAAAACTGTTACTATCTCCCTTTGGAAAAACATTTTTAAGAGTTTAGGTAATGAAATATTTTGGAAATTCTTTCTTTTTCCGTCTCTCAGCTTCAAGATGTAAAGATCTGAAGGAAATGTATTTAATTAAAACTGCTGGGTCCCACTGTTACTGCTACAGCCAGAATTCTCAAATACAGTGGACATATATATGGTCAACTTTGCAGGTAAGGCCTACTTTTAAATCATGTCCTAAGGACAGGAAGTGAAAATATACCATTTCAAAACACAAAGTACTTATGATGTGGCGTGTTGCGGAGTATCAGGGTGAAAGCTGATATCTGGAGCACACACAGGAGCGTGAGGAGGGGGATGCGGAAGGGGAGTGAGCAGCAGTGCCAGAGGCGAAGTAACTGAGCGTGCAGTTTAGCAGTGTGGAGGCACTGGTGACGTCAGGACAGCCTGTGGGGGTGAGAGTCTGACCAAAGTGGGCCGAGGAGAGGAACTGGAGCCTGCAGATTGCGGTGACTTAAAAAGGAATTGTATTGCAGTGAGAAGTGCAGAAACTGGAGATAGCAATGGGGAAGTGGAGTTCCAAGACGGCTGTTGTTTTAGATGGGAAAATAAAGGTACGATCTAGTAGAGAGAAGTGCCGGTGAGATGTACTTGATAAAGCTCGGCGGCCATTCGGGTTTGACTTCAGTGGAACGTATTCACTTCCTCTCTGGCAGAGAGCCTGTGGCTGCAGATGCTGACAGGCAGGCGGCTGTGGGCAGAGGAGCAGGGCGATGCTGACTGCTGAGAAAGGTCATCAGCTGAGAATGAGGAGCCGCTGACATGGGGATCTGCCGGAGTCTTTGGGAAGTCACGTCCTGAGAGGGTGGATGAATGAATGCATAGGGATGTGGGTGTGGATGGCTGTAGCTTCCAGGTCCCACTTCCGGCTCTCTGTCAAGGATCTGACGCGAGATCACTGTGTCTTCCTCCGTTGGATTTGGTAGCACAAATGCAAGAGTGGAATAGGTGGAGAGTTGTATTTTTCATGACAAAGCAAGAGGAGTACAAAAGAGTCATGGGTGGCTTATGTTGATCATGGAATTTAGCTGGGTGAGAAGGGCCTGAGGACATCAAGAGGGTGAAGAGGAGGGGAAAGATGTTCTAATCCCTGGTTGGGGGCAGGGTGCTAAAGGAGGCATGCTCGAAAGATAGCAGGTGGTGTGTGGGGTCTGCAGTTTACTACTGATGGGTTTAGTGCACAACTATGAGAGTGATTAGCAGAGGTGAGGTGGAAGACAAGCACACAAGGAAGGAGTTCCCAGAACTGAGAGACCCTTACATGTCTCTTGGCCACAATGACTTGCTAGAAGACAGATGTATTAGTCACCTTCCCATTTGGGGACTAAATACCCAACACCTGCAAGTTAAGGGAGGAGAGGTTTATTTGGCTCAAGGTTTCAGATGATTCAGTCCATGGTTGGCTGGCTCCGAGGCAGAAACTGTACGGTGGAAGGGCATGGAAGATTGGGACAGAGAAGAAAGGAAGGAGCTGGGGACAAGAATACACCCTTTCAGGTCACACTCCTAGTGACCGACATCTTCTGACCAGGCCCCACCACCTGACAGCACTTTCAGTTAGAGACTCATCCGTGGGTGAATCCAGTGATGGGTTTAGCAGCCCCGTCATCACCATCTTCTAAATGCATGAGGCTTTGAGGGGACACAAGAGTTAAGAGAACTACAACTCAGGAGAGGAAGCATCCATTTTCAAAGATGTTCAAGGTCTAGTGTGTGTTTGGATTAAATGCAGGTATATAGGGTCCACCCCTAAGACCAGAACATGACTGTGTGCATCTGTGTGTCCTTTTTTCAGCCAGTTCTCCTTCCTCCTCTGCCCACCCTTTTAAGAAGCTTATGTAAAGTTTTTACTTCTTTGATTGTGGATTTGTTTTGTTTGTTTTGTAGGTGAACATCACCAGTCCAGTCCTCTTTAGTATTGTATATATCACAGAAAGGCATAATTGCCAGTATCCAGAAACAATCCTATCTGTTATTAAGTGTGTAATTCATAACTTATGGACACCGAAGGAGTCTCATAAAATAACTATAGCCATCAGCCCATACAAGGACACTGTGTGCTTCGCTGTGAAGCCCATCAAGAAGACATATGTCTATACAATAAGTGTGACTCGAAAGAGTAAGTCTGTTTTTATTATACCTGACTTCCTGGATTCAGTTTTTCTGGATTGACATGTCTCTTCTCCTACCAATGTTATATTGACACAGAATTTTTGTTGTGTGTATCTTTTTTTTTTTTTTACTCCAGTTGTGGATTTCAAACTCTTCCTTGTGTTTGTGGCAGGCATTGTCCTTTACTTTTATGCAAAGACCTTGAGCCAGTAAGTATTAATTTTTACATTCTTAACCTGTGATTTCAGAAGGAGATCGACCATGTTTGACTCTGTACTAAATATTTGCATACCTCTGAAGAGCTTGTAGTTCCGACTTTAGGTTTTGCAAACAGCAAATGTAAAGATAGTGTTTGAAAGATCTGTACAGACAGCAACAGTTATGTGTGTAGTCTAATGTGCATATGGTACACAGGGCTTTCACACACATTATTTTGTGCATTAGTATTTCCATAACAACTGTGTGAGTTCTGTGTCATTGTTCTCTTTTTTGCTGGTACCGGGGATCAAACTCAGGATCTTGTGCTTGCAAGGCAGGCATGGGACCACTGAGCTAAATTTCCGGCCCCATTTTTCTCCATATATTGATGATTCAAAACCAATGTCCGTCATCACACAAGCAGTCCTCATCAAAGCCAAGCTTTGTACTCCTGTTTTCTGATCGGGCTGCTTGCTCTGTTATGTCAGAGGTGGTGCCGATCCAGAAAATTGAACATAACAAACATCTGACTCTTAGCACAATATGTTATTCTGATGTTTTGTTTCTTACCATTTTCCTTATGAAAAACTATCTCTAATGTTTTACTTTCTAACTTGCTTGTGCGAGTCATTACCCAGCGTTTGTCAGCTCTTCTTGACAGTGCTCACCCTTGAGCTCTTCCTGATAGCGCAGTCAAGCACGTAGATGGCTCTGTCATCCCAGGGCTCTGTCAGCCGTGCGTGCAGTGCATGGGAGGAAGAGTGCAGTGGACTCTGAGGAGTGAGCTGTGACCCTAGGTCCTCTAGGTAGCACGTACTCGCTGAGGAGAGGGGTGTATGTGGGGGTACTGGGGTCCTACCAGGGATGCGCTATTACTGAGGTCCATCCCCTCCGTTTTTATTTTATGAAAAAATATTTTTATAACCAAATAATGGGAGTGTTAATAGTTACTATACCATGTATCATCTTCAAAGTACTCAGTACGTGACTTAAGCTAAAGATTTCTTACAAAAAAGAAACAAACAGGTAATAATACAAACTTTCTTTTCAGTGAAGTAAGATAAACTTTTAGTATAAGCAAAATATTATTGGAATGATTTTAAAACAACAGAATACGTAATTTGATAAATTATTTGAACTTTCATATAAGAGAAACCATGCAATATTTGAACTTGTGTTTCTGACTTATTTCACTTAACATTATATTGTCAAATTGCATCTATTTACCTGTGAATGCCTTGTTTATCTTTCTTTATGGCAGCATAGTACTCTGTTGTGTATAAATACCAGCTTTTTCTTATTCATTCATCTGTGGATAGGTATATGCACTATTTCCAAAATTCAGCTATTATAAATTGTGTTGCTATAATCATGAGTATTCACGTGTTCCTGTAATATCATTTTAACTCTTTGGGGAAGATACCTAGAAGGGGAATAGCTGGATCACATGGAATTTCAACTTTCAGATTTTTTACAAATCTCTACACTGATTTCCATGGTGGTGCACTGGTTTATATTTCCACCAGCAATGTAGAAGGGTTCCTTTTCCCCTGTGTCCTTGCCGGCATTTATTATTTCTAGATATTTTGATGATAGCCCTTCTCTTTGGAGTAAGATGGCATGTCAGTGTAATATGCATTTCTCTGATCTGGCCCCTTTAAAATCTTTACCTATGCATTCATTTGTCACTCTTGAGACATGGTCACACTAAGTTGCCTGGTCGTATCCTCTTGTGCTGCCATACCCAGCTGGGGGAGCAAAGCCTCCCGCTGCTTTCATTTCCTCTGTAAATTTAGGCATGGATGGTTGTGCGTGCGTGTAAAGGCTGCTACCTGCGAGATGCAGTTATTGACAGATCACATTCCGAATAGAGAAGGGGACTCAAGCATTCAGTTCGGAGCTACTGACATTTCAGTTGCCCTTTGTGTTTTCTTTCATGCTACTTGCTCTGGCTACCGTCAAATATATACAAAGATTGAAATGGTTTTTAATCTTCTTGTCTCTCCAGAAGCCTCATTTTCTATTACGCCTCAGGCACTGTGCTAGGTGTTGTGATGACATTAGTCTTTGTCCTGCTGTTGGTGAAAAGATACATCCCAAAGGTGGGTTACTATGTGCAGATAAATAAAACATGAAAACCATGACCTCACAGATATGAAAAACCAACGGAAATTATGCAGCTCATTCTGCATTTCTTAATCTAATCTGTGGCCTTCACTACATAAACTGAAGTTAAAATGTATCTTTGTGGAGAGTCCATTTTTAATTATTACTATAAGGAGTCTTATCAAATTGTAAGTATTGGTAATGCTGTTTTGAGGCTCTTTGTAGGCAATTTTTTAATGACTGAAAAGAAACAGATTCCATCTTGAGTAAAAGCTTTTCTCATCTTGGCAGAACTTGGGAATCTCATGATGCTAAATCTTTGGGACCTTAATTAACAGCATTGCTACATCTGAGGATTTCTCTATGATTAGTAGTTCTCCAACACACCTTCAAGAAAATAAGGCTCTGAATTTAGCTGAAGATAAAGTGTATTAATTCGTGGTGGTGATGTTGCATTTACCTAAAGCTTATAGCACCAGCGTTACTCTGAGAGAAGCATGTTCCTCTGCATAGCAATGTGCATGCTGGCCCCCGGGATCTTAGCAAGATGCAGGCTCTCATCTGTAGTCCCCTGGGAGCCGGAGAGCCTGCATTTTTCACAGTCCCCTGGAGCAGAGTTGGCACTGTTTGGGAACCAAGCCCTGAGTCACAACATGCTATTGACTTCAGTTCAGTTTGATGCAGAAGTTTCTAATACAAAAGGTTTATTTGTTTCTTCTATTTTATAAGCATGACCGAACCAAAAAACTATGTCATTTATTTTCTCCCATACACAGTATAGCACCTTTTTGGCTTTAATGCTTGGTTGTTGGTTTGCTTCAGTTTATGGTATATACCAGTTGATGGAAGAGCTGAAGTGGCTGTGGTATGAAAACGGAAAATATATATTAGGTAGGTAAATATTTTTAAAACCACATTTTGTTGGGCCGTAGATGTAGCTCAGTGGCACTGCGCCTGCCTCAAAAGCTGGTACCAGGAAGAAAAAAATACATTCTGTTACAGAGAAGCTGAAAAGTACAACTAGAGGACTTCTTTCAACATGCGTTTTTCTCTCCAGCATCTAAATTTTGATCTTGAACTAAGAAGTGATGCTATTAAAATAATATTTTGCTTATTTTATCCTCATAATTGGTGATTTCATTTCATTCAGGCTTCATTTTAAACTGTTTCTCTATAATCTTTCTTAGTTTTCTACAGTAATGACCAGAAGAATAAAAAGCCAAGCATAGAGGTGCATGCTTATGATCTCCCTCTGACGTGGAAGGATTACATGTTCAAATACAGCCTGAGCAATTTAGTGACTTAGCAAGACTGGTATCAAAGTTAAAATTAAAAAAAGCTAAAGATAACAGTCATTGTGAAGGCCCTGCGTTCAATCCTCAGTACTGGGAAAAAAAGTTAAAAAACATTTGTCCCCAACTACATATGCTTCTGATTGTGATTAAGCCCTAACCACATCTAACTTGTCAAAATTTCTAAAAAATGTGACTCTTTTCATGTTTCTTAATTCATTCAGTATGAAAGGTGAGAAAGTCTAAATATAAATTGACTAAAAAACTTGACTTTCCTGCTAAAAAAATTCTTTTACTTTGTTTTATGTTACCAAAGAAATTTTTTTTAAAGTTTGGAAATAAAGAAGGAGAGAACGCTTAGAACCAAATTTCTCACATAAACATACCACCCCTAAAACAAAAGCAGTTATGTTTTTCTTTTACCTGAAAACTTTATGCTTTTCCCTCCCCCTGTCCTGCTGCAGTGCTGCGGCTTGAACCTGGGGCCTCAGGTGTGCTGGGCAAGCATTCAACCAGAGCTGTGTCCCTAACCCCTTATTATCTTTTCTTGTTAGGTACTTTTAAGAAAATTACAGGTGACATGGTATGTACCTCTCAATACTTTGCTGCACATCTGTAAAACAAAACATTTTCTTTATAGTGAAATAACTTTTTCTTTTTTGGTGCTGAGGATTGAAACTGGGCCTCGTGTATGCACACACTCTAAGCTACAGCCCTTGCCCCACTATTAAATTTTTAAAAAATTAATAATCACGTAAATCATCTATTTCCCAGATCATGCTAAAATTTCCCTGTTGTCCTTGATGGCTGATTTGAAAACAAAACAAAACAAAACAAAAAAACCAACTAGTCTAGTCTATGAATACAGCCTGCACCCATTGTGTTCTGTGAGTCTCTTAATAAACAGTAGTTTCTTTTTAAATCACGGTGGTATGCTGAACAGACCAAGCAAATTATGTTAAGACTGTCCGCCTTCTAGATTTACCTGGTGATTGTGGCACAGTTGCACTCATCCCTCTCTCCCCCACATGCTCTGTACACTGTGATTAGGTCCTGAGGTTTGCTTGGATGTAAATTACCCCTTTTGGGTGCAAGACACAGGAGGCGATGTGTACTGTACCGTGGCTCACATCCGAAAACTCAGCACCACACAGGCACACCGCTAGTGATGGTGAACTAAGCCCTGGCTTAGGAGGGTGACCGTCTGACCCCTCCACTGTAAACTTACTTTTCCCATTTGTGACTAGAAGGTAAAAAAAAAAAAAATGTGAAGTAAGGTTTATAGCTGACAGTGACATCTAGTGTGACTTATTTCTGACCCAAACCAGGATGACATTTCCCATCTAGGATACTGGACTAAAAACAGACATGCTTAGATGCGATGGGGTCAAAAAATACAGTGAATATTTAAGAAGAAAAGTTTTTTTCAATTACTAGTGTCTTGACTTGTGGCTGCCTGGATGTCCTGATTTGATCTGTAACTTTACCTTTCACGGTCATTTTGACTTTGGGAAGAGCAAGAGGTTCCAGTGGCAGCTCCAGAGAACAAGGTAGATGAGGACACACTGTAATGTTTTTATGAGCCTGCCTTTCTGTTGGATGGCACTTGTCAGTGACATTCGCCATTTTTTAATGACACTTCATAAAGATTCGCAAAAAATGAACTTCTAGAAGTATCAGTAAGTGGCAAGAATGATGGGATGTGTGCTTGAAGCATGGGGTATCAGTAGCAATGTGTCTTATGTGGGAATACATTTTCTAATTCAAACAATCGCCATATGTATGTATATATATATATATATATATATATATGATCATATTGTTATATCATCATAAAATGATTATAAAGCCTACATTATTACAAAAGGCACCTAATAGCTCATGTGGAATGAAAAAATAAGTTCTAAAAGTAAGATTTTTTTCAACTTTCATTGCAAAAAAAAACAAAAGTAAGGTTTTCTCTTAGCACTTACTTTAAGTCAAGGCTTTCCCAGGTTCTCACATAGTTTTTCTAAGTTCCGATTTATATGTTTATACCTTGTTCTTCTTCTTTTCCAGGCTACGTCCTGGTAGTTGGAATTTTAAGCTTTGCTGTCTGTTACAAACATGGACCCCTTGTTGACGCCAGGAGCAGGGCTCTCCTGATGTGGACGGTGCGATTGCTCTCCCTGGTCCTGATCTACGCTGGCTCTGGGGTGCCTCAGTTCGCCTACACTGTGATGCTGCTGCTCCTGTGCTCCCCAAGTCTGCACTACCCACTGAGAGCTCTGAGTTATCTCAAGAGGTAGGTTTCGGTTTTGTTCCCAGTAAACGTGACACACTAGGCTCTGGTTTTATTTACTGTTTGGGGGATTTTTTTGTGAATATCTTATTTGATCTCATAATTAACTACATTTGATCTGGAGATTGTACTCTTGAAAGTGGGAGAGCAAAGAGCTCCAAGCATCTGATCCCATTTCCATTTCTAATCTGCGTTAATCCTTCAGAGATGTACCACCAGTTACTAGGGTGTCAGAGCTCACTCAAATTTATTAAAATCAGTGGTAAAATTACTTGGGCCCTGGGTTCCCTAAAATTTCTGCTTTTATTATGCATTTTCTTTTATTAGAGTCACAGACTGCTAGAGTGATGTTAGTTGTGCTTATAAGAATTAGGAAAAAGAAATGAATCATAAATGACTGAAGGTGTTCTTTAGTCCACTGTATTAAGGGCTTTATTTTCTCTTAGGTTTTTAACTCAAGGCCCAGGCCTTTTGAAAAAATAGAAAGATGAGTGGGACTTCTTTTATCGCAGCTTTTTGTGTCTTCCTCAGTCCTGGAGTCTGAACACCTGTTTTTTGTGTTGGGTGCCCATATGGGGATGGCCCTACCCTGGGGAGCACTTGAGGAGATCTAGGCATCCATTTCTGTATCTTAAGTGTTAAAATAGAGCTTAGTGGGCATGGTGGTGCATGCTTGTAATCCCAGCAATCAGGAGGCTGAGGCAAGAGTATCACCATGAGTTCGAGGCCAGCCTGGGCTACACATAGTGAGTTCAAGACCAGCCTGAACTACCTAGCAAGACTTTCTCTCAAAAATAAATAAATAAATAAATAATCGAGATTTTTCTAGGAACTAAGATTTACAGAAAGTTCAGGAAAGCTGTCCTGCAGTTGATATCATTGGGCTGAATCTTAAATAATGAACCAAAATGCCTTGGCGAATAAACATGGAGGGTGTTCTGATAGAGAGCAAAGGCCCATCTGGTACCACCCCAAGGCAGCAGCCATCAGGGCAGCGGGTAAGGTGGGTACTGCCTAGGTCGGGGTGCATCACATCCCTTGCTGATGAATCTGGTCTGATCCTCTCTGCAGGGAGCGACTAACCAGGATGCAGTTTGTTCTGTTCTCTTGGCTGCCTATAGAGGGGTTAAAACCCAGGGGCCAGGCTGCTGGGGTGAGACAGTGAGTGACAGGAGGACTGGGGGAATTCCGCAGTGTGCCCTCATCCAAAGAGGCGGTTACCCCCAGCTTAAGCTGATTACTACGTGGCATATGGATCCTTCATTGTCAGATCTGATTTTCTAGAAAACTGGAAACTTGAATTAGGATTAGAATGTGAATCCTAATGCTTTTTAAATGTTGGCAACGAATCTAATTAAAATATAAAATACGTTCAACAAACAAATCAAATTAGAGACCATGAACATTCCAGGGCCAGTGGAATGTGATCCATCTGTCTTTTCACACAGAAGATGGGTGGTGGGGGAGACCCCTGTAACAGGAGACCCAGCCTCACACTCCACAGTTGTCTGGACAAGCACAGATAAGGACCTGAACAGGGCAGTGCAGCGGTCACTTTCCCACACTGGGATGAAGTACTTGACCCTGGCAACTTAAAGGAAGAGAAGTTTCTTTAAGCTAATGGTTTTCAGAGGGATCAGTCCATGCTTGATTGGCTCTAGGGCAGAAATGGCACAGTGGGAAAAGATGGCTGAGCAAAACTGCCCAACACATGGCGGCTGGGAAGGAGACAGCGGAAGAGCAGGGGATGAGGACATCATTTCATGTTACTCCCCCAGTGACCTATCTCTAACCAGGCCTCACTTGCTAAGAGCACACTGAGCTCTGAACTCATCAGTCCACTAAGGAGTATAGTCCTTCCGTGATCCAATCACCTCCACAAGCTCATCTCTAGACACACAGGACTTGGGGGCCCTCTAGAACTACACCATAACAGGCAGCGAGACCAGTGCTGTAAGGGGAGTGATTTGGCTCTGAAAAGGAGACTCTGTGGCGACAGGTAGTTTATGGTGACTGCATGGCATTGTCACAGGGTTGAAAATGCACCACTGACAGGACAGGGCATGTACGCAGAAGACAGCAGTGCCAGCCACAGGGGTGCACCCTGAGTGGTCTGAGGGGTCCTGCCCAAGGCAGCCAGGGCCTGGAAGTCCCAGAGGTCCTTCTGCCAGGAGGAGGCTGGCCACTCACATCCTCCGGGCCCCAGGTCCTTTGCTAGGGTGTGGCCTGAGGGACTCAGAGCAGAATTTCTTCCTTCTCCCCTTTAACTGTCCAACAAGCAGATCCTGTCACCTGCACAATTGTTCTTTTCTGTGTTTGCTGTGCATTCCATAATAATCAAAATGTTCTATAATTCCATGAACTAGGAATAAAACAGATGCTCATAGGTTAAATTAAAAAATGCTCATATCTTGATTTTGTGCAGTACATTCTAGTTTGCAAAGAGCTGCTTCCATATATTGTAGTATCTTTTGATTGTAACTCCTATAACCCTAGGCCACAAAAATCTCATTTAATCTGTGCAGTGACTTCACGACTGTTCTAGCTTGTACTGAGATGTCCCCCAAAGCCTCGTGCTCATAGTTGGGACTTTTTAGAGCTTGGCTGGATCTAGGGCAGTGATGGTGAATCTTTTAGAGGTGAGACCCCAAACTGCACCCAAAACCTACTTATTTATTGCAAAGTACCAACACTACAATTAAACCTGAATACTGAGGATTTAGTTTCAGAAAAACAACTTACAGTAGCATCTTTTGTCTTAAAAGGAAAACAAATAACGTGTGCCATAGGTTTGCCACTACTGATCTAGGGTGTGTGATACTGGATTAAGGTGAGTGATTGTTAACTTAGTCCACTGATTGGTTTAACATCGCTCTGGGTGTGGATAATGGGAAGGCCCACCTGGGTAGGCATGTAGCTTGGATGGGATAGAAGGGGAAGGGAGGCTTGCTTTGTTGTGGCTGCTTGGTGACTGATGCCTTCTGCCTGCCACACCATGAGCTCCTTCTCCTCTGTGATGCTTCTCTGCCATGCTGCTCTGCCTTGGAGCCAACCAACTATGGGCTGAAATTCTACAAACTGTGAGCTAAGATAAACTTTTCCTCCTTTAACTTTGGGTGTTGGGTATTTTGTCTCAGCGATGAGAAAAGTAACTACGACAATGAGGTAGATCTTACTGTTTTCATTATTTTTAAAATAGAAAAGTGAGGCTCAGGACTGGTAAAGAATCTCACTTAGTAACCCTCACAGCCAGGGTGGGTCCCAAGCTTCTGGCTCAGAGACTACAGCTTTCTTCCAGGGAACCCAGGCTGGGGACTCAGTGGAGTGAACTAGCACATCAACCATTAGAGGCTCTTAGATTTTTGAAGCCCTGACCCTCAAGAAAGTATACATGTTTAAGACCCACCTGGTAATTCAGATGCTATTCACATTTGGAAATCTCTGGTTATCTTAATTTACTACTAACCCAAAAAACTTTTTAAATGCACTGATAAATATAAAACTTTATCATCATTACTCTTTTTATGAGATTCTTATATTCCTAAATTTTAGATACCTGCATTTTATGAGATTTAAGACTTTCTAGGTTAGAAAAAGAAAAATCCAACCATGAGCCTGTCAACATATAGTATAAGAACTAATATAAATTATTGTACATAAAAGACCTTTGTACGGTATTTACTCATCCTCTAAGATCAGTCAGAAGCACCACCACTAGGTGGGAGTGATTTCCCACAAATCCAGCTCCCTGGCCTAGAGAGCAAGTGCCAAGCGTGCGTCCTGTTGGGTCCCCATAAAAGGATATCTCAGCTGCTTTCCAGTTTGTGCCCAGGAATACCAGCAGGCCAAGCATGAAGAAGCCAGACTTTTGTCTTATTTTGTGATTAGAAATCACCGAGGAAGAAAAGTATAATAAATATCTCTGTCAGAATTTGATTCCCAAAGGCCTGGGAACATTATTTACATTAGTCTGGGAAGCAGGGAGGCCCAAATTAGGCCCAAACTGTGGGTCCTCTAGGCCTCGGTCGTAGCGGTCACAGTAATGACCATGGTAAGCATAGGTGTGACACACAGGAAGCTAAGCAGTGTTACTGTTACTCTCTGCGAGGGGTATTTTATAAATCTGAAGTATTGACTTGGGCAGGAATCTAGCAACCAAATGCCACTCGTTTCAGGAGAGTGGAGCAGTGGTTCACCCTGCAGTGGCCGGCGGCTAAACACCTCACGGAGGACGAGTACAGGGAGCAGGCTGAGGTCGAAACAGCCCGTGGTCTGGAGGACCTGCGCCAGGCCTGCCGCCAGCCCGGCTTCCCAACGTGGCTGGCTGTCTCCAGGCTCCAGGATCCTAAGAAGTAAGTCCTGCCCAGCTGCTCCAGTACGGCTTGGGTTTTAATTATTCTGAAAACAATACAGTGTTGTGGGACAGGTACTTCCACTTAGAAGCAGATGCTGTCGAACTTGTCAGAAGTTCTTTTCTTCAGTACTCTGGCCTTGGAGTAGGACAGCTATTGTCTGAGTCAGTATTGATCTGCTGGAGTGTACTGATCTGATGTGAGGTATTGACACTAAAATAATGAATAATAAATCTCAACATCTAGAAACTAGACACGAGAAGGAATTAGCAGACAAGAGTGTGTACATTCCATTTGGCTGCCAGTTTCTCTCCTTTCCCTGATGGCGGTTGCATCTGCCGTCCCCCTTTATACCCAGAGTAGAAGTGCCATCCTCTCTCGAAACAAAGTCAGATTTCACGCAAGGGGATAAGCAGCAAGGGCACATGTTATCTTCCCAAACAAAACTTTCCGTACTCACATAACTTTAATTAAGAACAAAACAAATTGTTATTAGATTCGCAGACTTTGTTCTTGGATCAAGCCACTTGTCGCCTAAGGAAATGAGTCTGCATGAAGAGCAGTACGGCCTCGGAGGTGCCTTCTTGGAGGAGCAGCTCTTTACCCCGCCCCTCACGGTCTCCCTGCGAGTTGACCTCACTGAGAACCATGCCCTGGGTGCGGGGCAAGGGCCCTGATACCCTTGGCAGAGCTGCTCTGGTGGCAGCTGCGGAGAAGCATAAGCCACGCTGGGAAGGAAGACGGCCTTTTCTGAAGAGGACTTGGTATTCCTGGCGAGGTGTGCTACCTCCTGTCCCATAGGTGGGCACCACGCTCTGTGACACTCTCTGCCACTTGCCTCAATGAAGGCTTTCATTAGGAACAAGGACATTACATTGCTCTTCAAGGGCCCAGTAAGTGACAGGTGCCTTGTCAACACCAGGCGCTAATCCTCTTAATCCCCTGAACCTGTATCATGAGACTGCGTTACTCTCCCTACATCTCTTCTGAATCAGCGCTGGCAGAGACCGGAGTTACGCTGTTTCAGGTTTTGCACAGAGTACTAGCATGAGCCAGAAAGGGGTTCTGAGGTCAGCTGAGGGCGATCAAGGTTAATTGAGTATGCTGCAGCACTTCTCAGAGGCTTTCTGATGCTGGTGTACACTGACTCTCCTAAAAGGGAAAAACTGCATGGTTTCCAACGGACCACAGAACCCTTTTTGATAAAATTAATATTCCAGGGGACACATGATTCGAAAAAGCTACTTGATGGTAGAACTGCAGTGTGGGGAGGTTAAAAGACTTGTCCAAGAGCGCAGAGCTAACCAGAGGCAGTACTGATAGAGCTCCAGCCCTCGGGTGTCCCTGACTCAGGGAGAGAGAAGGCCTCCTGAGACCCACACTGAGGGCCAGCCCTACTCGGGTCACAGTGTGGGTTTCCTTTTTACTTTTTGTTTTTAATTTTTCAACAGTGCCCATCTGGCTACTTAATAACTGTGATAAAGAGAAACGTTTCTTAAGAGTATAAAGTTTTGATAGGGCAACCAGAAATTATCATTATTTTTTATATATTGAAATTGAAGGCATTTAAGGTTTTGTGACATTTTGAGTCATTTAAAAAATTATTTAGTTATATATGTTTGTAAGGATGTCCTACAAGACAGACTTGTGGTATTTTTACACAAGTCTATTTTGTTTCCTGACACCAGATGTTAAACACCAGAGTGAAGTAAGGACTGAGTTCTGACCCAGAGGGAAGGAGGCCAGAACAGAGGTCCTGCGGTTGGAACACAGCAGAATAATCTGTGGGCAAAGATGTTGTTGAATGGATTCCTCTGTGAATCCAACTCAGGCCTTTTTCTGATGTGATCGTAAAGGATGAGGAATTGCTTTTAGTAAGGGTCATGGGCGGGGAACCACAGAGAATTTGGGCCTGGCTTTCCTGAGCCTGATTTAGTGGAGCTTCTTTACCGAGTGTGTGAGGGCAGCTCCTCAGTGGGAACTTCCAGCCTGGGTTTCAGATGCTGTTTCTTTTGGAGCCAGACATCAGTTTTTTCATGTCTGCTTCTACAAGACATCTTTTGCTTTTTTGGTAAACCTCACTTGGTGCCTTTTTCTTTTTCTTTTTTTGGTACCGTGGATCAAACTTGGGTCCTTGTGCTTGCGAGGCAGACAGCAGAACCACTGAGCCAAATCCCTGGCCCTAGGTGCCTTTTCTAAATTAACTCAGTGCCTTTACATAGATTGATGTGAAACAGTCAAAGCATAGCTTCCATTCACTTTTATGATGACGGCTGTTTTACAGGAGTAAGCAGGAGTCCAGCATCATTCTTATTACAGTTGAATCTGATTTTTATTTTTATAACTGTATTTATCAGTGATGTTAGTGTAGGAGGTATAGCGATATGGTGGGGTCTGTGCTGCCCACACCTTGGGTGTAGCTCGAGCGTCTGTGGAAATCATGGATTTGTCTGTTTCTGTTACATGAGTGCCATGAGAAGCTGAACAATTAAAGGCATTACTGGTGATGTTTCTTGGTGTCTCTTTAAGTTGTTGCTTTATTTCAACTTTAATGTAGGACTGATCATAACTCGAATCCCCATCAAGCGATGCATATTTTCCGCTCCTTGCTTCCTCCCGTCCTTGTTTTCTCTTTCCTTCCCTTTCTCTGCCCTGTTAAAGGCCTTTAAGCACTTTAAGGGACCATGCAGTCAGACGGCAGTGCTCCCCACCACCATAGGTGTGGAGTTAGGGGCAGAAGGAATCCTTTGTTGCGTTCCTGCTTACACGAGGTGCCTCACAAAAGCCTGCTGTTGTTAGCAAATTGGACTGTTTGACACCACATGTGTGGGTGACACAGAGCGTGGGTGGCCATGCTTAGACAATCCTGTCATTCAAATGTTATTTTAAAAGGTTTTTAAAAACGCGTTATGTATCACAAAAATGCTTTGTGCATTTGTTATATAATTTGCCAGTACTTAGGGTTGAATCACAGGGGAGCGTCCATCTGACATGGAGGACAGTAATGGCTTTTTTTTAATCTGGAAATTTAAAAGATTTTACACTTGGAGTAGATGATGAACTACGTCGATGTATCCAAATATTCAGATGAATTAAGACCTTGAAATTATACCAAGAGGAGGAACAGGACCTGACATTAATCTGTGTGATTAGGCCCCGGAATTGCAGGTGTACAGTTGTTTAAATTAGCTTTCTCTTTGTTTTTTGCGCAGGACCCTGTGCATAGATAAAAGGAATGGTGTTGGGACCTTGATGAAACCCGCAATTAGAACAGGTACTTTTAGACCATCCAGGAGCAAGCTGCTTTCTGAGTCCTTGCTGTGTGGAGTGGCATCAATGAGGTGGCCATTTGGGTGACTCGGCCTCCTTGACTCAGAAATCTGATTTCTGCCATTGTTCTTTAAGATCTGTCTCCTGTCAGCCAATTTAGTGATTTAGTCCGTCCATTTAAGTGACTCACAGTCAAAAAATATACCTGGCATGAGAATAAAAATGCCTGGCACCTTTGCAGAAGTCAGATTTATGTGGGTCAAGTCATAAGAAGCTTCGTTGGTAAATGGGAAAAGGTAAAGGGAGTTTGTTTTATATAGCTCACCTGCTTAACGTCACGAGGCCAGAGTCCACTGCAAACATTGGCAATGAGACAGGCTCACTGCTGGATGAGATCCCCAGTCTGGCAGAGCCACCCCGGCCTGTGTCCTCACCTGCCAGTGTCTTCCTCTCTGTGACTGCTAGTTTTCTACTCTTTATTCTGGCCCTGGCATCCTACCCTGTTTTAGTAGGCATGTTTTACTCAGGTCTGTTAAAATACTCAGTCTTTCTCTGGCCTAAGAATCAAATCATCTTTATAAGGAAACTTTAGTGGTTTTACTATGAACTTCAGGTGTGATACCTTCATAGGTCACCAGCAATTTGGGATGGGCAGATTTAACAGGATCTGTCTTGGAAGACATGTGCAGTGAGATAGCTTCTTTTATTATTTAAAGAATTTGGAAGCAGGTTTTTTGATTTTTTTGTTTTTGTTTTTTTTTTAGGGGGGTACTGGGGCTTTAACTCTGGACCTTGTGCTTGTGAGGCAGGCGGTGGAATCACTAAGCTAAATCCCTGTTTTTTTTTTTTTTAATTAGTGATCAAAAGAAGAAGACAGTCTCAACATTTATTGCATTTGTTGATACTTTAGAGAAAAAGAAAATGGAAATTATGGAACTGTTGTTTTAATAGCCTCTCCCTCTCTGCAGGTCTTATTTGTTATGGAATTGTTACTTATTGTTTTTTTAAATCTTCTTCAACTTATGTTTTGGTTCATTTTATTTCTTAAGTCATATCTCCAGCCACTTAGTGTTACAGTACATATTGGAACCAAAAGGTTTATTGTACAGTATATTTCACATGGCAGTACAGTTTGTGTGGAATGCTTATAAGCTTAAATGCCAACAGAACACTCTCAGATCGAGGCTGTGGCTGGGGCCCTTTGCTGCACAGCTGTATCTGTGGCATTGATGCACAGGCACAGTGTCAGGTACATCATGTACAACCTGTAAAACTGACACTAAAATTACCTCCATTTCAGAGGAGGCCTGAGGCTCAGAGGCTCCAGAGCCCACATTCCCAGCCATAGCCCTACAGAGGTTCCTGGGTTGCATAAGAACTGGGGGTTGTTGGAGCTACACTGAGCAGATGGGAGCTGGGCTAGCTGGGTGCCCACCCAATCTGGCTCACGCTTTCCCATCCCAGACAGCAGTGAGTTGCAGTTCCTTCCTTAAAGCCACTGCTTGTCCCAGCAGTCTGATACTTTCTCACCTGAGAACCACTCCTTCCTCCTTACCCCTGACCCCTCTTTCTGTCCCTATCCAAGCACCATTCTCCCAACTGCCCAATGGTTTGGAGTTCTGGAGCCTGATGTTCTTAAATACACAGGAGTGGTTTGGAGCTCCACGAGTAGCCTTCGTTTTGCTCTGATGCACAAAGGCTGAAGAACTTCTTTCTGAATGAAAAACCTATTTTGGTCTCTACGGGTCATCTCCATCACAGACATATCCTCATCTTCGCACAGTGTTACGAGTCCAGCCTCTCATGCAGAAGTTGAGGAAAGCAAGGCCCAGAGGTCTCCCGCAGGTATTCTCCTCCATACCTGTGCTGTTCAGCATGGTAGCCACGAGCCCCATGTAGCTATTCAGAGTTAGAAATTAAGTCCTCAGATGCACTTGCCCATATCTCAAGGGCTGCATGGCTGTATGTGGCTCATGGTGGCCATATTGGACTGGACAAAGAATTTCCATTCTAGGAAGTTCCCCCAGACAGTGCTGTCTCCAGGGCTGCTGCCTCAGGATGCTCAGCTGTGATGCGTCTGTTTGCCTTTCCTGACTGTAGGGGCACTGAGGGTCCCTTCCTGCTTTTCTTTGCAGGGCTGCCAAGCCTGTCACTTCCAGTATGTAGAGGGTCTGGCATTGTCACCGTTAAAAAAACATCAGAAATTTGAAGGTGCTGGACCTTTTGCTATCTGTGAGTACCCAGAAATACTAAATAGAATATAACCACACACCTGTTTGAGGCATATATGGGACGGTTCAGGCCAGGGTGGTCTCAACAGTCTGCTTTACTGCAACAGAACCAGGGAATGGCTGCCCCAGTCTCCTGGGACGGAGGAAGGGGCCGGGCAGACCAGGGCTTTGGCATCAGAAGGACCTGAGCTTGTGAATTTATAACCTAGCCAGTGATGGAGAACCTCTTAGAGCTTTCAGTGATACAGCCTGCCATAGGTTCACCACCACCGACCTAAGCTGTTAGCCTCTGAATCTTCATATTTAAAATGGGGGCCGTGATGGGTACCACCTGGGCTTATAAAGCTAGGACAACCTGATCAGCACATGGCAAGCACTCACTGACCAGGTATGGTTCCCTTTGCCCAGGCTCACTGCTCAACCCCTAATTGGTGGAGAGGAACATCGAGTAAGCAGTGGTCCCGCAGCAGCACCGGAAGGGACTGGAAACCCAGAAGCGGCCTCCAGCCAACTGCTTCACGCAGCCTTGGCAGCACCGATGGGCTGGTAAACCGACACTGCTCTTCTGAGTGCCTCGGGCCTCCCAGGAGGCTGCCTATGGGGTGGGTTATAATCTGCTTGTGGTTCTGCTTACTCCATAAGAACAGTTTAATAATTACCAGCCAGCCTCTTCAGATCCACACAAGGTAATTTACTATTTGTATAATCACAGGAAAAAGTAGGAAATAAGTCAGCATGGCAGTGATTATCATCCCGGGCTCTGTGATGCCCCTAAATATTTCTTAGGATCTCAAGAGGGGCTACAAAGTTCTCCAACCAAGATTTAGTCTGAATTTACTTTAATATTTCTCAAAGTGGCATGTGGCATTTTTGAGCACAGGAAAAAAAAAAGTCACAAGGTCCACAAACTCATGAAGTCTGGAAATGACTGCATTATTGGGTCAGTTCTCATAACAAACATCTCATAGCAAAGGCAAGTCGGGTTTGGTCTCATTCATTACAGAGTAAGGACTTTCACTTGTTTGGTCACATCGTTAGCGTTTAAGAAATATTTAAAAACGATATTTACTTTTATTTCAATATGTCCACTGTGCATTTCCAAAACAGCAGGCTTTTCAGTGAATTGTAAACACAAGATACAATATGGATGTTTGACTTCCCACAGTCAGCTTCGCAGAGCCACATACTGTACATTCACAGGTGAGGTTCAGCCGTCACCCACTATGTTATTTCATTAATTACACGAGCATAATAAATACATCTGATTTGAAAGGTCACTTAAAATGAGTCATGATAATTTACAGTACAGTTCAGTTCAAGTGCAAAAATAACTATTTGCTTAATTCTCTCTTTCGGTTATCTGTAGACTGTGTTTTATGGTGAAGCTAGACACCCATCCAAGCATAGGATTTCTTCTCCCGGATGCAGTATCCCAGACAGTAGTCATGGAGAAGCCTCTCAGTACAGCCGATCTCGTCTAATCAGGGCCAGAGGCTTAAGGGAGTTGCTCGTTGCTGACTCCTGGGCTCCTCCACAGCTGTTACGCACAGCACCCCTGACCCTCATTCAGCTACAGCAGCGACCCCACTTCTGAAGCCCTCCCCATGCTTCCCCTTAATCTCCCCTTCACTCTTAGCAGCAAGCTTTCATGCGATTCTCCCAGCCACCATTCTGACTGCAGCTGTAATATGCAAGCTGCATACCGGAATCTGACCTGTCCAGTGTCCAGCGGCATCTTCTCAGGAAAGAACATACTGAGATTTATTTCTTTAGTTCCCATCCTTCCCATGCCTGGTTGCCTATTTACCACCTCACAAACAAAAGTGACCCATTATGTAATTTTAAAAAATCATATGGTTCCCCCAGGCACTTAAATCTTATACTGTTCTTTGTAAATAGTACTGCTTAAGTAAAGGAACCCTTTGGAACTCAGTGATTTTTGTTTTATTCCATCTACTAAGTAGAGCCCAAATCACTATAAAATGGCAAATAGTGATTGAGGCCATTACAGTATCACCATATTCTGTAAACCCTTCTCCATCAAACCGAAGGATACTGAATTGGTTGGTTTTCTTTTAAAAAATTTTTTTTCCTCTTTTCTGGTCATTCTGAAATCCCATGTAAAACAAAAGGCATTTTTAAAGCTCACCTTAGCTTGCAGTAGTTGGTAACAGTAGTTGGTAACTTGCTGCTCAAAGAGTTGACTATTTTCATTATATACCACACATATATAAAAATTATTCGCTAGGGATACACAGGGTTTATAATGAAACTTTTAGCTTTTTCAAAGCAAAAAGCATCTACTAACTTTTATCTGCTTTTTAAATATGTTTATAATTTTTAAATGGTTCTCTTCAAGAGAAACAAAATTATAGATCTCCTCTGTTTCCTCCCAGTTTGCACAAAAGAAGCCAGTAATGAGAATAAATAACCAGAAGAGGGAAATTCACACGGAGACGAACACAAGCGTTTCTGCACTTCGTGCCACTGGGGTCCCACCTCACTGCAGCCACGCAGCCCGGCCCGGCGTCCTCACCGACCATCGCCCTTCTCTGGCGACAGAGGGTGGCCCCTTCCTGCCAGCGCATACTGGAGCTCAGGTGTGTGTGCGTCACGTTGGCGAGTTGAGAGCTGGAGAAGCGTATGCAGTGTGTTCAGGCGGGGGCTGCGCCCTCTGCCCGGGCCAAGGAGCCAGGTTCCATGCAGGCTGAGATGCGCAGGATGCCCTCAGGGTCCTCCCGCAGCAGGCGGAGCCCAAGGCTTCTCAGGGTCCCCGCTCAGGTCCCCACCGGCGTGGGCAGCGCTGGTCTGCGGTGGAGATGCTGCTGCAGCAGGGGGTGGCTGGCTGCTAGGTGGGTCAGAGCGGGGCTCATGAGGGATGTGCTGAGCTCCCTCTGCTGGGGAATTCGCCTGATTCTCACTGGTCACCTGGAAGGGACACACAGACAGACGCCCAGAGGTGAGGGACAGCAAGTTAAGTGAAGCGCTTTGCATGTTTTCAAGTCACACACAGCACACCCCGGGATCAAACTGCAGTGGCCACTTCAGGGCCCGAGTAAGAGGATAAGGAGAAAACAGCTTACCTTTCATCTCTTTTCCTATGTGCAACTGCCACAGCCGCATGAAAAACACAAACACTATAAGCAGAGGTGTCTCGTGGATAAAGGAACATCATCACCCCAATACCTGGCACTCCCAGGCAGGTCATTCCAGTATTGCTGCATGCCCCAGCCATGTCGTAAGTCACTGAAATGCAGGCCTCTTGCTAAGACCTCAGAATTCAAGAGGTGGAGACACTTGGTCTAATTAAAATAAATAAGGGATTGTTCTCATCCTAGAGAGAGCTGGGGACAGAATGTCCTGTAATTAAGAGTCCTAATGTATTTCTGATATTTCAAAATGAGCACTAAAAGAATAAGAAAAGAAGACAAATATCTACATAAAAAAGAGGAACATAAGCTAGCACTTAGGTAAATAATGGTAACTGAATACACACACACACTTGTACCTTTCTATAAAATGCTATATTGGTTTTACAAGTCAGGAAATATGATTTTTAAAAAAGGGTTTCCCTCTAAATTAGAACTCATTACTTTCCAGTAGATGAATACCCAAATAAAAAAGAAGCAGAAAAAAAGAAAAACGTTTCCATTCTTGTGAGTGATACTAAACTGTACACTTGATCTTAGCCAAAAGGCTGAGAAGTAATCTCATTCTGAAATGTAAAAAAAAAAAATCTTAAAAGAAGTTTTCACACTACATGAACGTAATAAGCACCTATGCAAACGAGGCCGAGTGTGCAAAAAACAAAACCACTGCTACTTGAGCAGCAGGCGGCCCCTTTCTCCTGCCTCACATCCCTGCCCTAAAGTAGTAAAACCTTCCCCTGCTCCTCCTCCCCCAGTGTCTAGTTCTGGACTGGGCAGGGTATTCATGTGAGTTTATTATCTTGATAAACAGAGGATCATACACATGGGCTGAAGAATCAGATTGGGTTCAAATTGTATGAAGGTTTTAAGTTAGTTTCCAAAGGCAAGATAAATTCAACCAAGGTACTTCAATAAGCTTTCTAAAAAGGAAACTACGCAAACTCTTTCCTCTTTATTTTTAGTCTTTCCTCTATTTTTTTAAGCCTGGGTTCTCTTAGCCTACCCTAAATATAGAACTAATGTGACTCATCGAGTAAAAGGGAGAGACGAATTTTAAAAGGGGGAAGTGAGTTTATTCCCTCAGCCAAACTTTCACAGGAGTCACACTTCCTTTCCCAAGTCACGATACAGTTTAGCTGTATAAACCACTAGCGTTCTCATTCCCCTAGGGACAAGAACAATCACACACTTTTATTTTTCAGGGGTAGCCACCACAAAACCATATTTCCACTCAGTCAGGTTTCCTGTCAGAGCCATACAGTGGTTCAGGTTACTATTTACTTAACTAATTGGACAGATATTTACTGCATTCCTATTTTATATCATGCTCCTGCCAGAACTCTAGGATTAGTGTGGTCCCCCAAAACAAGAACCATATATTCTCACTACAACTGGTCTCAATCAACACTGAAATTTGTAAGAAGTTAAAAGATTAAAATGGATTTATTTATGTATTTCAAGAATTACGATCCCTATTGTGAAGCCTTCCTGAGCTCATACATCACAGTCTTCCCTAGGGCACAGTTATCAACGTGCACTGAAACTCTGTGCATCTATTTTCCCCACCAGACTAAATCTTGATGGATGAAGCGTCATTAACTGAGTGTCTTCAGTGAAGATAGTGCTGTTAGCGCAGCTTGAGAGGTTACCTGTAAAGGCTGGATCTCAGAAGCCCAGTTTTCTCTTGTCAGTTGCATCATCTCTTTAATTTGGTACAGTGCGTAGACGAAGGTCACCCAGGGAGAAGAGCTGACCCCCCAAGCTGGTTTGTTCACGTCTTCCTGCTCTTCCTGGTGCTTGGTTTTCTTGGGCGGAAGTCTGGGCTCAAGGCGTGGCATGACATCTTCTGGCTGTTGCTGCACCAAGTCGATGGTTGCTATGGGAACAGGACTGGAGGGAACAGGAATCCTTTCTGCCAACATTGTCTTGTCTGGAGAGAAAATGATGTTTAAATTAATTTTTAGGGTTTTCTACATATTTAAACAAAGGTACAAAAGAAGCACATGTAATCCCAGAAATTCAGGAGGCTGGAAAGTCGGAAAAATCAGTGTGGTCTTTTTTTCTAACTCATTGGGATTAAAATTGATCTCTGCAACAAATGAGTTTTTCTTTTAACAGAAGCTTTGGAAAGATGGGTTACCCTAAGAAGATGAGCCGTGAGACATGCATTCTGCTGGTAGGTCTTTTTCACTAAAATGTTGATTTGTCTTGTTCTCGTGTACACCTTATATTTAACATAACTTCCCTTCCATATAATAATTTTAATAAAGGCCATGTGTGGCTCAGAGAAAACTTCAAATCTCAGATTTAGACTCTTCAAAAAAATAGTAAAGATATACAGAGTAATATCACTGCATATCCTTAGAACAGTGGACCCTTGAGTTACAACCAGCCTGACATATGAACAACTTGGGTCACAACCAGAATTTTTGTTTTAACTTATGACCAAAGTCTTGAATGACACCCCAAATGCCAGCCTCTTGTGCTTCCAGAAGGTCTCAGATACAGACTTAACCCTTAAAGAGTGCTGAAGGAACATGACAACATCCTTTCCTGTGTGGGGTTGAGAAATCTTGGGCAATGTCTCTAAGGCCACTGAGATCTGCCTGTGTAAGGGGAGAGTATTTGAAGGCTGTGTAGAGGAGCCCAAGCCTTCCCTGACCAACTTGAGTTACAGCCAGCCCTCAGGAACAAATTGAGTTCCTAAGTCAAAGGTCCACTGTAGTAAAACTGTGAAATGTTATATGTATTTGACTTGAGTTTGACATTCTTTTAGAATACCAGGAAATTTAAACCAGTACTTCCCTAGTACTTTATATCATAAAATAAAACAAGAAAACTCCAAGCTACTCAACCCCTAATATTTTTTCCAGCATAGTAGGTATCTTCTCTCTAAGGTGGCACACACGAGTCCTCTGGTACATCACTGAGAAAACCTAGCCAAGGTTCTGGGTTTCCATGGAGCACATGTAGAAGTCCTTGTGGTTTGAGCCATTAGAACCATCAAGAGCGAGTGGGAATATTTACCTTCCTCCTCATCTGGCACTGCCAGCCACTGGATCAGGGCAAAGAGCAGGAGGATCACCAGGCAGGCCATGCCAATTCCCCGGAAGGTTGCAGCAGCCCCTTCAAAAACAAGCAGAGCATGCTAGAGGAGTCAGTCATCTCATGTCCACCTTAGCCCTGTATTTCCAGTGAAAGAAACAGTATGAGGTTGGCAGTGTTATACAGACGCACTGACACAGCCAGAGTCAACATGCGGTCACATCTTCCTGATTCAAAGTCTCCTGATGGAATAACATGAATTTTCTTTCCTTCAGCATTACTGTCAGCAGGTTTAGGGCACCTTGCTTTAAACCAGAAGCACATGTGCTTATTCACTGGGGAGCTTGTGGCTTCTGGGCGGTTATCTGTGATTCATCTCATTAAACTGCCAAGGCATGTGCACAGTTATGGGCTGGCTCTTGTCCTCTTAAACTAGACTCGTGCTTTGCAATTATGACTACCAGGAAATCTAGAAAGGGAACACAGATACTAGAGTTTGGCTTCCGGCAATCTTCAGCAATAATTTGAGTGTTTATTAAGGTATTAGTGAATAATCGCATTTTCACCACAGAAGAAAAAGGGGAGGAGAGAAAGCCGTTCTTACCAAAGTAGTTGACTAGCACACCTCCGATCATGGCGCCACAGCCTCGCCCCAGGCCCAGGTGCAACCCCTGCAGAATGCCCTGGGCAGACGTCCGCAGCTCAGGGGGCACGGCCGCACTGAGGTACGAGATACAGGCCGCCCAGATGGCTGCGTGGGTCACCCCTGGAAAGGAAGAGCAGGAGGGAGTGCAGGGCTTGATCAAAGTCCCTTTGGTTACCCTTTTTCGAAATGTGAATTACTTATGTAACGAGGCACCTATTCTGTGTACATATTTACAACTATATATGTATAGTTATATATTTATGGTAAAATACATATAACAAAATTTACCACTGTTACCATCTTTAAACACGCAGCTCAGTGGCAGTAAGGACACTCGCAATGTTGTGCAGCCGTTATCTCCATGACTTTTTTATCCACCCAAAGACCCTGTGCCCTTTCATCCCTTCCCCCAGCCCCTCCCTAGCAAGCACTGTTACTCTCTGTCCCCAGGAACAGGCTGCTCTGGGAATCTCACATGTGAGGACTCATAGTTCACTTTGTCTCTGGCTTATTCCACTTAGCACAGAGCCTCCAAGGTCCACCTGCGCTGTGGCCTGTGCCAGAATGACCTGAGGAAGATTCCACTGTGTGTATCAAGCACGTCTGGTCATCTTTCTTCTGCTGAGGGACATCTGAGCTGTTTCCACCTTTTGACTATGGTGACTGGTGCTGCTGTGAACACTGGTATGCGGGTGTCTGTGGGACTCCCTGGTTTTAATTCTTTTAGGTGTGCAGTGAGAAGTGGAACTGCTGGGTCATACCGTCGTTGTTTAGTGCTTCGAGGGACAACAGACTGTCTCCTGCACCATTTTACATTCCTACCAGAGAGGTACCAACCCGATTTCTCCACTTCCTTTATTTTTGATTTCTTTTAAGTAACAGCAATCCTAAAGGGTGTGAAACAGTATCTCACTGTGTTTTCGATTTGCATCCCCATACTTAGTAGGGAAACCAAGCATCTTCAGGTACTTATTGGCCATTTGTGTATCTTCTTTTGAAAAAGGTCTGTTCGAGTCTTTTGTCCACTTTTGAATTAGGTTGACTTTTTTGGTATTGAATTGTAGGAGTTCTTTATAGGTCCTGAATAGTCACTGCTTAGTGGCCACCTACTTTGATATTAAGATTATTTCTATTTTCCCCACTTAAATTAACATCACAATTCACGTACCTTTTTACATACCTTAGATTATCTACATTAACCATAATTTGGTAAGTGAAGTTAATGATTCCAAGGATAAAGCAATTTTTATGCTTCTGAATATAGGGTTTGAATTTTTTTTTAAGTGTAGAGGCAAATTACCATGCCTCTTAACTATTTTATTTTATCTTCACCATTTGTTGGATGGAACAGAGAAAGGAGATAACCGGTTAAAAATCGTTATTTTAATACATGGGAACTCTTTGTTGTATCACTTAAAATCTTCACTGATTTTTAACTGTGGTTTTTAAAAGACGGTATGAAAATAGTTTTATAGATAGAAGGGATTAAGAAATCATCTGGTTTTGCCTAGACAGAGCAATGGCTCCCTCTTTAAAAAATACTTTCATTTGGAGATAAGATCATCAGAAACTCTTAACCTATGCTTTCGAAAATTAAACTAAAAGGTCAGTATCTTTTAAGATCTACTTCTGGCCAGAGAAGAATAGCAGAGGCTGCATTTACTCTTCTTTCTGAAATAACTTAAAAGTGGGACAAAGTATATAAAATAATGTTTTCCTGGACACTGGCCATCAGCAATGAAGACTGATTCCTGAGAGATGAGACAGGTGGCTGCTTACTGTCTGGAAGGTGCAGGGCATGGTAGAGACTCGCTGGTCGATTCTGTGAAGCCAAGAATCTCTGGTGCCAAGATAGCCTGAGTGCCAGGCAGAACGCCAGAGGAGAAAGCTCCGGGAGAAAACTCTAGAGACCTGCAGGGGCTTCCCCTGAAGTGTTTGGCAGTGTATTGATCGGCACAGTCAGGTGCAGAAAGTAGCTATACCCAAAGGAAGAACCACCCAAGACCATTATAGAGAAAAGTACCCAGAGCTGGGAATAGCCTCTGTTCCCACCACCCAGACTGAAAAGACTGAGTCAGAATTATAAAATAATTATTCCTAATGGTGGGCATAGTCATAAACTT